AGATGGTAATAATTGATGATCCATCTGCTTTCATATATTTCAGGACTGGCGGCTTCAATAAACAAAGGACAATTGCATTATTGTGATTGTCGTATTTATACGCTCAAGTACAGTTGTTTATTTCCACTATTAACGATTATTTAAGTGCTCGACCCAAAAAAAAAAAAAAAAAGACTATGACTTTATTATCTTTCCGCAGAGTCTTAGAAGTTGAATAGCGGCAGAGTATTGAAATTTAAGAAAGCCGATTGAATATCAGAGAAACGTAATTTTCAAATTGCAAAAAACATAATCATTTGCGGGAGTTGGTTGAATTTCCAGTATTTTCTAAGGGAAGGAAGTATGAACCTGTTAAAGATGTGAAAAAGTAAATCTGTATCTGTACCCAAATGATGAAACTTTTCCAATGGATCAAGAATTGTGAAAAGATCATACCAAGAAAGCCAAAAAGAAGAGACGCTCAGCTTTCTACTTAAGAGTATGCGGCACAAAAACCTAATCCAGGAAAAAGAGAGAACCATATAGCATTTCCTGAATTCCAAAGCATCATCACCAAACCCAACTAAAGAACGTATAAATCATGGATTTAATGCAGCATCCTTTCTTTGTTCACTTTACTAATCTCAGCCTTTGCTTGCTTATCAGAAACTCACCCTTTAGGCTTAACCTTGGCATACCTTCTTTCTGCCTTCAAATTGCATATAATTTATTATTTTTTTCCCTATATTACGGCATTATGACATTTTTGTCATTCTCGATAATGACCCACAAGACCAAGTAGAATGCATGGTATATGTAGGTACCTAAATTACAAAGGACGGTGAAAATCTTTCTAACCTTGGAGAATCGCTAATTAGTTTTACCGTCAAAATATGAGATCTCTTGAGAAATGGCACCACCTGGTGGGACCCGGATGATCATGTCATGATTGAATTCACTCTATATATCGTCATAGAATTTTTGTGTCGTTATTGGATCAGAATTTAATTTGAAACAGGAAAAAAAGATGGATAAAATAAAGGGAGAGGAAGCAAGACGGACCATAAAAAAAAAAAAATGAAAATCCTGTTGGGGTTCATTTCAACTTTCTGGAAAGGCTCCTTCTTCTATTTATTTGATTCCCGATCAAGCTGCCATTTTATTTTCGGAACTTGCTTGTCAAAGTCCTCCAAAGCCTACCTTTCTTTGTCTTTCTCGTTTCCTAAAATTCGCATAAAAATTCCTTCCTTCCTGCTGCTGCATCCACGTAGGAATAGTATAGATATACTGAGTGAGAACTCTCAAAGGCACTGAGAAAGTTACAGCACATGGGAAGGCACTCTTGCTGCTACAAGCAGAAGCTAAGGAAAGGCCTCTGGTCGCCAGAGGAAGACGAGAAGCTTCTCAATTATATCACCAAGCATGGCCATGGATGTTGGAGCTCTGTCCCTAAACTAGCTGGTACTTTCTGTCTGACTCACTGATATTGCACTTCACTTTGTACTGTGTGAAATACTCTTTTTAACTCATCTCTCTCGCTGATGTTGATGAGTACGGCAGGTTTGCAGAGATGTGGCAAGAGCTGCAGATTGAGGTGGATAAATTATCTGAGGCCTGATTTAAAGAGAGGAGCATTCTCCCAACAGGAAGAAAATTTGATTATTGAGCTCCATGCAGCACTGGGAAACAGGTATAATGTTTGCACATATACATTTATGTTCATGTACGTACTGTGATTCTGGCTTTTTGCTTATCCATGCGCTGTTCTTGCTAAAGTGGTTGCTGCTGAATTTATCAGGTGGTCCCAAATTGCAGCTCAGTTACCGGGAAGAACCGACAACGAGATAAAGAATCTATGGAATTCCTGCCTGAAAAAGAAGCTCAGGCAATAGGCATTGACCCAAACACCCACAAACCTCTCTCCGAGGTGGAGAACCACAAGGACAAGCCTTCCTCGGCCGACAAAACCAATCAGAAAGCCTCGGGTTTCAACGAACACAATTTGGCTCATGAGCCAACAAAACCAAAGCCTGCACAACTATGCCCTCCTCTTGAAGTTTCATCCCCTTCCAATAACTTCAACAATAGCAGCAGCAATTCCCATGACCTATTCCTGGATAGATCTTCCTCCGATGTGGTCGGTTATTTCTCTTTCCAACCTTTCAGCAACTATGCAACAAATCCTGGCACTAGCACTTCGCTTTGCTTCATTCCTAGCTCTACCAGTTCCTCTCACGTTATGTCAGACCTCAATTCGGCTGTCACTCCCACTATGCTCCATTCAATTTTGCCTCCACATGTAAATCCCACTCTTGGCCTCCAATCTGATAATAATCCCCCCGCTCATATTCATGGTGTTCAGGCTTGGGAAGCCGCTGCCTTCAATAACAATGGAGGCAAAAACAGTGGGAGCAATAGTGATATACCATTACAAAACTACGATAACTTCCTCGAGAACAACATTTTAACGTGGGAAAAGCATACCCATGCTAACGTGGTACCCTTGCAAGCAGAACAAGAAGACATAAAATGGTCTGAGTATCTGAACGCCCCATTTTTTCTGGGGAATCAAATCTCTCAATCTATCTACAGTGAGGTTAAGCCAGAGACAGGGTTCGTAACAGATGAGGCGACTAATAGTTGGCACCATAACAGCCAGCAGCATCCACAAGTTTTTCAAGCTCTGGATATATATGCCAAGGATATGCAGAGATTTTCAGTGGCTTTTGGACAAACGCTTTAGCTGCAGTTCAATGAAACAGAAAGGTGCCGACATTTTTATTTTATGCTGGGGTCAGAAATATGCCTTCTGCGTTCTGACCACGGGTGTGTGCTATGAAATTAATTTTCTTTTTGTCTTTTTGAAATTTGTAAATGTGTTTGATAGCAAAAGCTAGCTTCCAGCAATATATCACAGTATAATATTTGGGATTAATTCAAGGCTTCTTTTGGTCATTTTGTTCGTCAATCAAGCAGAGAGCAAAATAAGGCTTGTTCTAGGTCGTCTCTTCGTATGCTCCTGAATTATCATGGATCTGGAGCGTGTAGCTTTTTTGTCCGTATACAATTAACATTGTTCTTTACATTCGTCTAATTTCAAGCCTCAACATAATTATTTGACACGAAGTTCGTGGAGCAATATCGGTGGAAGTGAATAGGTTCAAATTAAAAAACACAGGAAATGACTTTCAACTCAAATTAAAAAAGAAATGAAAATGGACAGGAAGATATTTTAGAGGAAGAGTGGATTGGGAAGTGACACGATTTGTACCGTTTCGGATGATACAGTTCTGTGAGAAATTATATGCCATAGCGTGGGCCTGATTCCACCGCCTAGTTTTTCCGCCTTCGCTCCAGCTCATGTGCCCCCGTGGCCGTGGCCATCCGCTAACCTATGTTCAAACGCCACCACATTATTTTCTTTAGAGAGAGAGAGAGAGAGAGAGAGATTAATTATGGGAGAGTGACTGTTAAGTTCAAAGGATGAATAAAATTTTATTAAAAATAAATTTTAAATGTCGATTGACAATTATAAATTCAAACATTTTAATTAAAAGTTAAATATTTAAATTTAATTAAAATACAACATCTTGGTTTATAATTGAAATTCCTGTTTAAATTTTTTTATCAATAATTTATAAAAGTTTGAATTAATATTTGAAACTCATTTTTTCATAAAATTTTGTCAAGATCTAACTTATTAATTTTCTCTGTGGAAACATGATCGTCTTTTTTTTTTATAATTAATTATTGATTATTGATATGGCAACGGCCAACAAGCCCTCCTCCTATAGAGTGTGGATGCACTTTATGAGACGATAGGACAAGTTGGCTTTTTTGTGGTCACGCTAAGCGGTTATGGCTAAATAGTGTGAGGGTAAAAGTTTCCCGGACAAGAGATGAGGGCCAGCAAAGGCGAAAGGTAAATCTTTCAATCCTTCCTTTTTATTTGGCATCAGCAGACCAAAGTCAAACAGTTCCAAAGCAGTTTTAGTGACAGTGATGCCTCTTCGCTTTCAAGTCTCAATCCACCCCTTTCCTCCTATTCCCTGCAAGAGCCAAAAACTTAAAAAATTAAAAAATAAAAAATAAAAAACAACAACAACAACAGAGACGTCCACTTTCCCGAGAGAACTCAACAACTCTAACAACAACAACAACAACAACAACAACAGAGATGTCCGCTTTCCCGAGAGAACTCAACAACTCTATTATGATATTAGTATTGCCAAGGCAATTTAAAAAATGACGACAAAATCAAAAGTCCGTGTGCGCATTCAAGAACTCTATCCTGTCATTAATTATTTGAGGCCTTGTTCGTTATTTAATATGCACAAGATAGTCTTTGTATGTATTAAAAACAGCCCTGCGTGTGCCTCAAATTATTGGGTCAAATATGTTGGGACCCTCCAATCATCAGCGTACAGTAACGCGAGCAGAGAGGCGGTGGTGGCTCTTCAATCCCAACTCTGATTCCCCAGTAAATACGAATTTAACAATAGACATTGAATTTTTTAAGTTCTATAATTGTGAGTGCCAAAACGTCTACTTTGTATGTCAATTAAATATACGGGCAGGTGTGAATAACAAGAACAAATAGTGACCATGATGTATATGGATGTAGTGATGGGGCCAATGATTGAACTGATGATGATGGACGGCATATATAATAGTCTTCGCTGGAGATTAATTTGTACACGATGACAGATAATCTACGTATAATTTAATATCAGGAACTGGGAGGCCAATGAGAACAAGTCACAAGTTGAATGTCCCGTAAGCATCGACTCACGGTCACGGTGTGCACGAAAAGAAGCGGATGATTAGAAATCGCGTCAATTTGCTGTGAACTCTTCAGATAATCTTTATCTAATATAATGGATCTCGTTAAATGGATGGAGAAAGTTGCATGCGTGATAAACTTCCAATCTATGTAGATGTACTTTATATTAATTAATGAAGGATTTGGGAAGTTCCAGCTTCCAACTTGAATGGTTGTGAATAAATAATGGAATAAACTGTTGATTCCTCGCAAACAGTAAAACTGTGAGATAGATTCCATTAAATCAAAGCCAGTGTTTTTGGCTAACAATGACCGTACGCCTCTGCTCGGGCAAAAAATGTGTGTGTGTGTGTGAGAGAGAGAGAGAGAGAGCAACTGGCTCCACATACACAGCTAATTGATGTAAACTGTAAAAATGGATTTCACCGTTGGATTACTGGTAAATCTTGGAAGAGAATTTGACCTGATCAGCTACCTTGTCTTTTATTGTCTGTTATGGGATGATGAATGAGCTAGAGACGGCAGATGAAGTTCCGGTCATCTGAAAACCAGATGGTGGCAAGTCTTATCGCATGGAAATGGACAGTCAATGTCCTTCACACCTGCTCTGTCGAAATACCAATCTCCCACAGCCAAAGCAATTGCCTGCATATTCCCAATCCATAAAAAAGAACTTTATAAAGATCTTAAAATTAAAGACAAATATCAAAAAGATAAAATATTATCGCAGTGATATATCAATGCATGACATATCTTGTTCGATAACCGAACATAATTTCTCCTTCCAAGCAGAATAAGTTATATCAGCAGCGGCAAGCAATCATCACCAAAGAGTAAATAGCATATCTCCATAAGCAAGCCTATATATTTTCCTGGAATTTTTCTCAAAGCGGATCTTTTAAGGTGAATATCATAATTATGTGTCAGCATATATATCTAGGATCATCTATATGTGTGTCAGCAACTGGTTCAGGATTATATGGGTTCTTAGATGAGGGATACCTTGTTCCTGATGGCAGGGGAATTGTCAGCAAACCATGTATCCGGCCTCTCACTTTGGCAGTGTGAAAAACATGAATTTATAAACAAACCATTCTGATTCGATCTTGCAAAGCCTCTAACAGCGTTTAGCATTTGATTCCTGAATGCTGTATAAAACAAACAGTGATATGCCTCGATTGGCGAAGTGATTTAATTGAGACATCTCTACACTTCAGAAACCAAAGTTACCATATATCAAATCACCTTGCAGAAAATGAAGTTGCGGTCCCGTACAGGTAGCATAGTTCAATCTACAATGGTGCCAATAGCCATGGGGATCTGCTGATGGAGAAGCCAAGCTTGACTGAATCTGATGCAAGCAGAGCATGATATAAGTTAAGATTAGTCTGGGCATGATATAGGTTTGGATCAGTCTGTTTCAATAATCCATTGAATACATCATCAATACTACTAGTGACTTATGACAGTTTGGTTTATCAGAAGGGCCAAAGACTGCAAGATGATTTAGACAATTTACCTGCCATGAATCATAGGCTGCATTGAGAATAAATAGGGGGGTTCTAACACTTCCAATCAAGTTCTCAGGGAAAAAACACTGAAAGGTGATCCCAAAAAAAAAAAAAAACATTAGCAAGTGTTCAGCAAAGATCAAGCAGCGATAAAGGAGAATCATAATTCTTATGTATATCTGTTCAAATTCAAATGAAACTTGTAAATCTTAATTCTCAGCAGGAGAGAAGAGAAGAGAAACAATGATTAGCAATTACCGAAGTGGGATCAAGATGCTTAGTACAAGTTTGAGGCTGATTCTTCTTCACTCCCTGCAATGTTCAGATAACATCTATCAGCGAGTGTCATAACACGTCAAAAGGTCAAATAATCAATTGACACATGATACCATGCATGTGGTATATCCGGTTTCTCATTTTTAAAAGTCAATTCAATTATGTCGCTTCAGGTCAGGTTCAGTGAAAAGAACATGGAAGATCTATGACCAAAACAGGATTTATTCCGCGTGATGTTTGAGAATCAGAAGTAAAATTGATATTGTACTAGCACATTAGCTTCTGGTTGCAAAGTTGCTGAACCACATACTATTTACCACTGGTCAATATGACCTTGAAAGAAATTCCTCTATTAATTTATGCTACATTACAAACATCACATTTTGCAGTAAGAGTGCAATAAAACTTGTATCCTCAAACCAAAGTGGTACCTGCAACCTTACGACTCTGCTGTACATTTTCCTCAGTGAACGCCCACCAGATACATCAACCCTATAATTCCAATACAGTTTACAATTACTTTAACCATGAAGGCACAAAATCTTATAGTACTGCGAAAAGACATTGAGAATCAGAAGCATGAAATACTGCATTAGCTACTTACGTGTCAAGAAATAACCCAGCATCACTAAGACACTTCACTTTGGTAGTCATTGGAAATAGACTTCCAAATTCATCACAGTGAATTATAGCGGCCAAACCACCGGCAGAGCATCCAGTAAGAAAAGCCTGATACACGCCATATATCATGAGAAGAAGAACCATTTAAGTAGTATTTTGTGTTTGAATGTGTGGGTACAACCTGCTTGGCATATCGCATTCCCTTTGACATCAATTCTTCCATTGCAGCCAACCAAATACGCTGTCCTCTGAATTGCAGTTGTGCGTTCTATCTCAACAGGCAATCAATTGCATTAGTGTTGAGTCAAGTTATAAATATTATCAACATTCTTATCAGAATGGAAAAGACAACGACAAAAATCAGTCACTTCTCTGCATGATACTTTTTCCATAATTTTTTATTAAAAACATAAAAATATATAAACTACCCATAGCAAACATTTACAGGGGATTATAAAAATGATTAAGATCCTTGTTGAGACAGAGATTATCAGGTTAATGTAATGCCTAGAAACCACCGTCACAAAAATCACCAGGAAACACCTAAAACAACAAACTCAAACGAATGGGTTTTTTTTTTTTTGGGGGGGGGGGGGAATCTAAAAAATTAGTTGACAATAAGAAATAGAAATCTGACCTTGTCTTCACCATCCCCAGCAAAAGAGGCACCATCACAATAACGAATCTTCACCCTGTTCCAGTTGTAAAAATCTGCAATTAAAAGGAATTAAAACATGACCAAGACTGCTAAAGCCTGTGAAGAAGGGGAAAGAGAAAGAGTGTGTTTTGTTGGTCCAGGCAGGTAGATCAACTGAGTAAAAACCTGGATTTTGAGCAGCATCATTGCTTAGTATTCCTGTAAAAGGAATCTCCTTTTCCATGAAATGTGATGATCCCCTGCGTGTTTTCTTGCGGTAAACACATGTTCTAACATCATTACACCACCCACCGCCCTGCCACATGATTTCACTTGAGTATCAAGATAAGTTTTTCACATCATATCTGATGTAGCTTGATTAAGGAATGATGATTTAAAGAGGATGTTAAGACATTGTGAGAGATGCAAACTTCAGTTATGATGATTTGTAGTCCTATGCTATACCAAAAAATTGGATCCAGCAACACTTTCAAAGAAATGCTTCCTGAGGTACCAAGAAATAAAAGATTGTCAATCTGAACATGTTGTTCTTTAACTTTTCGAGAGGCACCACGATGCATTTTAATTTTTATTAATTTGCAAATTATTGAAACCAGTAAAACGTACTGTGTCATAAAACATTTAGAAAGATGGAGTGGAATGAAACCTCTAAATTAACAAGCCAGCTGTTTGCCCCTGATCCATATCCTTTATCCAAATGATAACCAGGTAATGACCCATCCAAGCAGACTGCCAGAACGGGAGAAACAACGAACAATTATTGGATCCGATTCCAATAAAACTAAGCTTGGGAATAGACTGTACCTGCTCCATTAGTGCCGGCATTTTGAATAAGGGTCAGTCCTACAAGCAGAGGTTTCCCCCCATTGAAGGATGCCTCATGAAACTCCAACAAAGACAGCTCTGTTTCATTGAAATGATACTTTACATGGCCATCGACCCAGTGGCCAAAAGCGAGTCCTATAACAATGCCAAGCCACAAAAGGTTCACCATTTGCTTTTTGCTGCAGATGTAGCTCCGCCACCTTGTATTCGGGAAACGAAAAACACACAGTCCGTATTTATAAGAAGCTGCTGGACTTTGGATTGGGAATGTACGACCTAATCAGCCATTTGTCGTTTTAACGATTATTCGTTACCCTTCGTAAATTTTGGAGCAGATTGGCGTAGAGAGAGTGGGATTAAGAGATTGAGGGAATGGGGAGAATTTGCCCGGCTTTATTACGCCGATGGAGCGCTTTTTGAATCCAGTATTGGAACGGAAGAACTGTTGACTAGGGAAAATGACACTGGATTATTTTAGGGAGGTAATAACGATTGAACCGAGATTCTTAACTAACTAACCTTGAAACAGATATTTGAGCTAAATTTTCTCTACTCGGTCAGATAATAAAATATAATAGATTGATGTTTATACAGTATATAGATGTTTATACAGTATATATTATCTAAATTTAAATCTAAATTTTATAGGGCAAACTAACCAGCATAATTGAAAGAAATTTATATTAATCAATATTTTTTATTGTCAAAAATTGAATAAATATTTATTAATTTACATTAATCTTTTATTAATAAGTATTCATTTAAATTTTAACAATTAATTTTAAATTAATAATAATTTATTTAAGTTTATTTTTTAAAATTTTGATAACAATTGATCATTCACGATGTAAAATTCCTCTAATGATCCCTGTTTTCTCATTTTATAAAAAACTGACGTAGTTGGTTTAACTTAATACATAATATTACATTAAGTTAGTACGTGTTTTCCTATGTTGTTTTACAGTGTAAAGTTTTAGTTTTATTTTTATTTTTAATAACAATAAAATTAACGTCTCTCGCCAAGTGTTACTTCCATTGTAATGCGAGGACAAAACTCAATTATTGTTTATTTTATTTTGTTGAATCTTTAAATGTAAATAATTTCAAATTTTTCCTAATTAGTACTAGTATTTAGAAAACAACTTGAATGAACGCCCTCAATTTCCCGTTTTTAGTGTTTAGAAATAGAATTGTAGCTCTTTAATTATTCATTTACCTTTTCTGATCATGTGGGTGTAAACTATTAACCAGCATGTCAAGCATTTATTTGCAGTGGTAATTTAGGACATCGTCAGCCTACAACCTCAGTCTAGATGCTCCAATCTATCAAAATTTACTTTTCAAGTAAAGTTTTTCATCACAGACTTCCAACTATTTTCCCAACGAAAATAATCTCTTTAAAAAGTATTTATGACCATCTCTTACATTAAAATTTTATTTTGACGGGAATGTGACAATCACAATTTCTGTTTAATTATTTAAATGATGATATTAAAGGACGAAGGTTTTTATTTATAATTTAAAAATAAATAGTTGTTGAAAAAATCTTGAGAACGTTACTCATAAATTAAAAAAAAAACATAATTGTAAGTTTAAAGAACGTCACTTATAAGTACAAACATAGCCACTTGTAAATTCATAAAAATTCAATTATAATAATGTCGCAAATTTATGAATCATTATTTGTAACTTTGAGACAAAAAATTATGCATTTAAAAAATGTCATTTATGGACAGTCATACTTATAAATATATGATTTAAGGGTCCTACAGTCTTCGATGGTTTGTTTATAATTAACTTTTCATAATTTCAGAGGTAAACTTTCTTAAATCTACAAAAACTTATATACGTAGTCTTATATATTTAATATATTTATATACAATTAAATCATGACAAATTGATCTTAATAAATTAATAAAATTAATTGAAAAAATAATTATACAATAAATAATCTATACAAAATCCATATGCCTTGATTTAATTAATTTTTTCCCATCCACAAACAATCCTTCTTAAATTCAAAAATTATGATACGTAGATTCATGAGATTATCTATCTACTAGAGACAAAATATTCTAACATCCTGTAATTAAAAAAAATAGATTAAAATATATAAAATTTAGAATATATCTGATCAAGTAACTTGAGTTATTTTGATAAAAGAAGCTATTATCAAACAAACTTTTTTTTTTTTGTCAAAATGAGTCAATTTTATTCATCACTAAAAAAATTAGATTACATACCGTAATAGCCGAAACCAAAGAAAACTTACCAATACAACCTAATACACGAATCATGAAAAAAAGAGAACAAAACAAACAGTATAATTGATTAAATATATTTAATATAAAAAATTTAACATGACATCGAAATCATTTGATTTAAGAGACATGAAAGAAAAAAGAAAAAAACACAAAAGAAAAATATCCAGCAAAAACGAAAAGGAGAGAACAAATAAAGAGATTAAAAAAAGAAGAGCGAGAGAAAATGAAGATCACAGCTGACCTTAATTAAATTCACAATAATCAATTAACTTCTGCAAGATATTTTAACAATTCAAGATTTTTTTAATTACAAATAAACACCAAGTCGTATCTCAATAATTCAATATCTCTTCACTGTTATTATTAATGCATTCATAGTATCTTTAATAATTCAACATCTCTTAATTGTCATTCTTCCCGTTTCGATACAAAAAATTGTCGGTAGACACGGCTGGGGAGAATTATATATCACTGGCTAATGGCTAATAATAACGCTGAATTTATTCTCATCCAACAGGGAGGCTAGTTCTAGAAATAAAATTTGAGAAATATTATCTTTTGATATTTAGGAAATTAAAAACTAACACCCACACACATATATTAATGTCTCCAAATTCCAATCCCTCCCTTCTCACGCAAATAAATGACTAAACAAATAAGGACTCGTTCAATTCAGCCATTCCCTCCGTTGCCTCCAGGCCCCGTTTACGCTCCTTCGTCTCTCCAAGTACTTAGAATCATAGTTTCCAAAGATGCAGACAGAAAACCTTGACTTTAGTTCATCTGGTTCATACCATAGAGTAAATAAATAGCCGTCGTACACATATACACTGTTCTGCGATTAGAATGCCAATGAACAATAAAGTAGAGGGTGGGCCTCCTGGCAGATGCAATAAAGTTCCTAACAGAACAGTTAATGATGAGTGTAACAGGGCGGGTATAGTTTATAATTTATCGGGGGATCACTCACTAATTCAAAGATTAATGTTTGTGCTCAGACTCTGACCAGAGACTCAGCGTACTGCTGGCGTTACTAGAAAAAGTTGCTAGTGCGGGGAAAGTCAGAACCAGAGTGAGGGGGTCTAGTTAAGATGAAAGAGACAGTCAGGAAAAAGGGGGAATCGGAGATCGAGAAAACAACAAGAGGGAATTGATATGGATGAGGGATTTGAAGGTACAAAATGCGAGAGAAAGGGAGTAAGGAGGCAGTGGTGATGGCAAACTCAGATTTGGAATGAAGGAAACCAACAAAATGACTTGTTCAGCAACCACGTGGCAGTCTCCTTCCTTACTCGGTCCCAGGCTTGGTGCACTTATCTTCCTTGCTGGAGCCGTGCCATTGTTGGATTATTTTAACGTCACAGAAGTCGCCCGTCGGGGCGGGGCATTCTTCAAATCACGTGCATTTTACACTGCGCGCCTTGGGATCCATATTCGGTGATGGCCGTGTGTGCCCAAGTCGTTGAACTGAAGCCGCATGCATGTGATGTCAGATGTTCTCCTTGTCCCCTCATCTTTTTTTGGGGATTTTTATACGAACACATCAATCAATTGTGATAAATTAAGGGAAAAATGATTTATATAGCCTCACCAAGTGTTATGTGTCAAGAAATGAGATTGAAGCAATAGAATTCAGCTCAAGTCACAGGAACCTTCATCCATGGACAGATAAAGCATGAAGAAACTCAAGCGTGACCGGATGAACAAGGATCCAAAGTGAGTTCTCGCCTCAATAATGTTCAACCGCTGATGAGCCATGCGTATTTTCAATTGCCAGCAGATGAAAAGGGGAGATTCTCCCCCTCCGAGCTTCTGCCACGGGTGGATGGAGTTGTTCTACACACAAGCCTGTGCGGACGGAAGTAAAAACACACGAGAGGCCTAGATTTAAGTGAAATAAATGTGGTGTATCAGATTCAACCTGAAGGAGACGGAAAACTTCAAGGTTAGGGCCCATTTAATAAAATTTATGGGTAATCTTGATGGACTGGGAAGTGAAGAGAGAACCTTAATCTAAAGAAATAAACATAAATAACTAGGTTAGGGATAGTTCTAAAAATTTACAGTGACTTAAACTATAGCTTCGCGATTTAATTAGTTAGTTGGGTATCATGGAAACGAATTCAACACTAATTAAAAAGGGACTAATAATTTGGGGGAATATTAAGATACTTTAGAAATAGTTATCATTATAATTAATCCAGGTCAACCCAAAAGGTAGAAACTAGTAATCTATAGGATGAATCCTAAACCCCAACACTTCAAGTAATTACATTTTTATCATCATTATTTTCTTAATTTATTTTTATTCCTTATATTTTTGCCAAATTTATCCATTTTATCTATTTTTCTTAAACTATTAATTATTTAAATTAATAAAAGTGTAACTTCCTTATGAGTTCGACACTTGAAATACTCTGAATAATTTATTACTATGATCTCATATACTTACAAGAGCAGTGAATCCTTGCTTCACTGTTCCTGTTGTTTTTATTTTACTTGCTTCAAGTTTTCATCTTGTCTTCTCAATTAATTATTATTTGTTCCATTCAAATAACAAAATCACTTTTCACTTATGGATTTGACCTGAAATACTCCGTATTTATTATATCGATCCTGTATATTTGTGGGAGCCGATCACACACTCTGCGTGGCTCTCCAACCATTATATTATAATTAATTATTAATATTATTGTCAACATTGATATATTACATGCTGTGGAAAGAGAAGGAAAAAAAAAATGTTGTTCTCAGATCTCGTCTGCATATAAAACTATTTGTCCCTTCGGGTTCGGGGACATCCCATAAAATTGCTTATGCCCATCGTTTGTCCCCCGGTTATTGCGTCGGTACGTCCCTCCCTGGCTCACTGATCTATTTTGTGTTTTTAAAAGAACCTTAAATCTGTACGCATTTTGCCTCTCTTGTGTCCTGTGCATGATTTATGTTTATCATCCAGTGGTGACTTTTAGAAACTTCTGTTTATTAGAAAGTGCACTTAATCCTAATTCCGATTACCCAGATTTCTAATACCACAACACACCAGCGCAGTTCAAATGGCCAGAGAATACAAATTATTTCAGATAAGTTTTCGAGGTTGCGTGAAATATGTGCCTTCCTCACCGGTTTTTGTTATTAAATGAGCAAAGATTGGAGCTTCTTCAATTGTTTTCTTCACGCAAAGGTCACATTTTCCATTCAATAAAAA